ACCATATACCTACATGGACCCTCTGAGGGCCTATACTGCCCAAATAAACACAAACTTTGCCAAAAGCGGGCGCTGCTTCGGCGTGAGGAGCTCCGTAACAAATTTCAGACAAGGATAAAACGCCAGCCAGCAGATATACCTGGGACTGAAAGCGGTTGGAATCTAGGTAGTGCATTCGAATTATCATCATCAGAAATTCCAAGAAAAAAAGTGCTATCGCACAACTTCGGAGTAGCAGTGCCAACTAAGGTCAACAGGCGCAGTAAGCATGGACAAGCACAGAGCCCTCATATCTTGCTGGGCATTAAACTGCTCAAGCCAATACAATACTTATCTATCTGCAAGCCCTGAATAGCTTCTAGCTGGGTACTTTTGGTCAACAAGTGACCACACCTTATGCGGAAGGCCCGATGGGTGAGGGTCTCACGCATCCTCACATTTACTTGGTATGCCGATGCAGTATGCTTGCGTTTGCCCCCAAGACTTGTTATTGAAGGTCAGCAGCACATCAGGTGTACGTAGGTTCGAGGCATACGTGACAACACGGTGTGGGTACGTAGTGGAGTGGCCGTGAGGGAGGAATAACATGAATAGACAGCAGCAGGATACGCTCCAATGGTTGTGCTACTTCACATACTGGTTACCACAGCTACCTCCGCCCTGTCTCGGGCGGGCGGACAGGGAATTGATTTTCACTTACCGCGAAAATGCTCACACACGACACACACACACACACAGCCCAAGATGCCGTCGTGCGGCTGTACCATGCATTTCAAGGGGAGGGGCCATATCCTAAAATTCCAAACCTGTGCAATGTCTAGCCACTGCACGGAAGCTAGCAGATAACACCACAGAGCCCAGAGCAACGCAGTACTACAGAGCGGGAACTACTTCATGCCAATCTGAAACTTGCAGGCGTGAAGCATAATAAAGGAGAGAATGGCAGTCTTGAAAGTCAACCACCGGACGTCGCAGCTGTGCCTTGGCGGGAGGCAATAGAGACTGCATTTGGCTGTCCCAGAAAAGGTCCGTAGGAGCAAGATCTGCCAGCGAGTCACGTCAAAAACGTCGCACGATAGTTGACGTCGATGATCAAGCATGTGTAGCATATAGTACCGAAGGTGTAGTAATCACCTGCATGCTGTGCGCATCTGCCAGAACAAGCGCTGCACCTTTTTCGGGGTGAGTTCTCATAACCTAAACCCTACATAGTAGTT